GGATTTCGGGCTTTAGGGTTTTAGGGTTCGGGGTTAGGATTTTAGGGTTTAGGGTTTGGTTTGGGGTTTAGGGTTTAGGACTTATGGTTTGCGGCTTAGGGTTAAGGGTTCAAGGTTTAGGGTTTGGGGCTTGGGGTTTAGGGCTCTGAGAATTTAGGGTTTAAGGTTCAGGCGTTCATGACTTCGGGCTTAGGGGTCATGTAAGAGTTTGGCGTTTAGGGGTTTAGGGTTTGGGCTTTTAGACTGCCTCAACCCTCGAGCTTCCTCCACCCAAGATTCCACACCCTCGGACCTAGGCCACGAAGTCGTCCTACCCTTAAACCCTAAACCCTAAACCCTAAACCCTAAACCCTAAACCCTAAACCCTAAACCCTAAACCCTAAACCCTAAACTACACTTTACACCGAAGACCAAACACCCCCAAGCGCTACAGCCTAAGACCCAACAGCCCCTCGGTCCCCCCAACACCTGAATGGGTTTAGGGCTTTGGGTTTAGGGGTCTAGGTTCTAGGGTTTCGGGGTTGAGGGGTTTAGGGATTTAGGGTTTAGGGTTTAGGGGCTTAGGGTTTAGGGCTTAGGGTTTAGGGTTGTTTAGGGTTTAGGGAGTATGGTTTAGGGTGTAGGGTTTAGGGTTTAGGCTGCATGGTTTAGGGTGTATGGTTTATGTGTAGGGTTTAGGGTTTAGGGTTTCATCACGACCAAGTGTAGCTCTCAAGGGCTTTGGGATTCTCTACGGCGCCTGCGGACATCGTCCAAACCCTCCGCCATCAACCCTAAACCCCTAAACCCCTAAACCCCTAACCTCTAAACCCCGAAAACCCTTAAACCCTAAACACCCTAAACCCCTAAACCCTGAACCCTCGGTCCTACCGGGGGCCTCCAGTGTCCAGTTCTAGTGCTCCGAGGCTAATCTAGAAACCGGAATAGTCAGAAGAGGGTCTGGGGAGAAGTTCTACAATACTATAGGTAAACTTAGGGTTTAGGGTTTAGGGTGTAGGGTTTAGGGTTTGGGGTTTAGGGTTTAGGGTTTAGGGTTTAGGGTGTAGGGTGTAGGGTGTAGGGAAACCAGTCCCAATCATCTTAGGTTGAAAGGCTTGTGTCTGTTGGGGCTTTCGCTCGACATCTGCGGGGTTGGGAACTAGCTTCTGCTTGAACCCGCAGGCTTTGTAGTGCTATGCCATAAACTGACCCTAAACCCTGAAAGAGTTTAGCTAGGCTTTCGGGCTTAGGGTTTAAGCCCGCTAAACTCCTGAATCCTAAACACGTAAACCCCGAAGCCCCAGGCCCAACCCCAAAGCCTCTTCGAGAATTCAGCCACGGCGCGTTGGGAACAAGACCGAGGGGGCCCTCACGAATGTGACCACGAGCAGGGAGAAGCGCTGGAAGTACTCCGGGCCAACGTGAGTTGGTGACCTGAGGAGATGTAGAAAAGACGATGGCGCAATTACCCATAATCTTCCTAGGTGTTCCTTGTTCTTACAGCCATACTGCAATATACCTCGAAACAACTTTATAATCATTAAGGCCCCCTACAACCTCATAAACCCCTTGTACTTGATACGAGCCCTTTAAAGGAACCCTTTCCTAATACTTAAGGCCCCCTATGTTGCGGTTTGATGGTTGAGGACCCTAAACCCTAAACCCTAACACTTAAGGCCCCCATATCTTGCGCTGTAAAGTTGAGGCCTAACCGAAAACTCGGATTCGGGGGTTTGGCTTTAGGGCTTTAGGTTTTGGGGCTTTAAGGATTTAGGGCTTTAAGGTTTTAGGGTTCCAGGGTTTGGGTTTAGGGCTTTAAGGTTTCAGGTTTTAGGGTCTAGGGTTTGGGGCTTTAGGGTTTTAGGGCTTTAGGGTTCTAGGCTTAGGGTCCAGGGTTTAGCGTTTTAGCGTTGTAGGGTTTAGGATTCTAGGGTTTAAGGCTCTAGGGTTTAGAGCTATCGGTTTGGGGTGTAGGATTTAGGGTTTAGGGGTGTTACCTAGAATAGGGTTTGGGGGTATGTTACACTACGTTTATGATTGCTTGGGTGTATATCACACTATGTCTAGAATTGTCTCGGACATAGAAAAACTTATCTGTGACTGTTTGTGGGAGAATACTCTCTAGATATAACACTGGGGCAGGGTCGCAGGGTTTATTGCGACCCATAAACCCTAAGCCCTAAACCGCACAGCATCAAGATTCCAGGTTTAGGGTTTAGGGTTTAGGGTTTAGGGTTTAGGGTTTAAGGTTGAGTGTTTAGGGTTTAGGGTTTAGGGTTTAGGGTTTAGGGGTGCTGGCCTACAAAGCCTGAAGCCTGAAGCTCAAAGCCAGAAGGACACACAAACCAAAACAAACAAGCGAACAACCCCGGCTCCAGGCCCCCAAACAAAAAACAACAGAATAACACCAAAGCCGAAAGAACCGAGAACCCTAAACCCTAAACCCTAGACCCTAAAACCTTAAACCCTAAACCCTAAACCCTAAAACCCAAAAGCCCTAAACCCTAAACCCTAAAACCCCAAACCCAAAAATCCCACCGGCTCTCCCAACGGAGCCCAAGCGACAGGTAGAGAAGCCCGAAGCTGGAGTGCAGCAAATACTGGAGGTTGAGACTCTTCCTTACCAAAGGAGGTCAGAAACCACGATTTAGGGTTCAGGGTTTAGGGGTTTAGGGGTTTAGGGGTTTAGGGGTTTAGGGATGTAGGGATTAAGGGTTAGGGTTCAGGGGTTTAGGGTTTAGGGTTGTGGATTCAAGGTTTTGGGGTCTGGGTCTCGGATCTTGGGAGTCTTGGAATGCTTCTTACTTGGTCGTAATAGTAGCGGTGGCAGTGCCATGGTAGCGCTAGAGGTAGCGGTAGGGGTGGCACCACAGCAGCAGCAACAGCAGTAGTAGTGGTAGTAGTAG